CTAGGGGAAGCCGGGCTGGTTCTTCCATACGTGGTGTAAAGCCCAGGAGGCCAGTGGAGTTTGTCCCAGGATGAATTCTATCCTCTATTTGCTTAAATGCATCTTACACACAATTTCCCTGGGTAAAGTTATGCATGTGAAAGAGGAAAGCCACTTCTGCCCCCATTTGATTAGTGCAGCCTGTGTTTGAATTCAGCAGGAACATTGTAACTCCAAATGGCCTATGGCTTCTGAGTGTTTCTGTGTGTGTGTGGAGATGGGGGAGGGGGGGCGTGTTTTTGTTTTTATTAAAATTTGATCTTCCACTTACCGTAGTATAAGGAAGGATTGGTTTTGAATAAGAGTCTATTATCTTAATGTGCATTCCAGCCTAGTTGGGGATGGTTGGAAGGCATGTGAAATGCGTAATCCTCGAACTTCCAAGAGCCAGTGTCAGATTTAGGGATCACTGCAGCACGCCCCTTTTTTCCCCATCAATCACACTCCTGGGAGGCATCCCCTCTTCAGTTCCCTTCTTGCTCCCACCCACAGACATGGCTGTTGCTATTGGGCAACGATAGTTGTGACTGTTGTTGTTTAAGGAGGAAAAATGTAGAGTTATAGTTTTTATTTCCCTTTTAATGATGAGGAAAATAGATTGGGGTCTTAGAAAGCAGCCCCTTAAAATACTCTCCCTTTTGATGCTCTAACAGCCTGTACGTCTTTGTGAAGCAAGGGCCCTAACTGCCTATTAGATGGGTCAATTTATCATGCAGTGTCCATTTATTGATAATAAATTCACTTTTAAGACTAGCTGGTGGAATTTGCTCATAATGAATAGAGCAATACAGAAATGCTTGTCCTCTGGCTCTGTGTCTAGGTTTCTTGGATACAAGGCATCTTTAAAGATCAAGGTTTTTTGCTCATGGAAAGAAAATTAGTGGTTGTGTGTTGCAGAGTTTTAGCTATGTAAAGCCAGATTGCATCTGCTCTCCCCATTAACAGGTCTGAATCTGACCCATAGGTGTTCAGCTATTTTAAATAAGCACAGCTAGCTAAGTGTGGTTTCTGTGCCAATAGAATGGAGTAATTACAGTAGGTGGTGGCTGGTTAGGTAACCAGCTAGGAACTCCTGTTAATAATATACAGGGAGAGGTGGGCAAACTGGGCGAGGTTGGGATTCATTATCTAAACTGTCTGAACCTCTTTATTATGCAAAACTGGGTTGGAAAGTCTCACAATTAACTGGCTTTCTTCTGAGATTTCCAGTATTTCTTACACTTCTAGCATGACAGAGACAATAAGTGGCAATTTTGGAACTCTAGTCCCAGGTGAAACCATAGAGCCACATTATGTAAATGGGAAAACAAGGATGTGGGGGGAGGTCACCCAAACTCCCTTGATCCTCATCTTTTTTGCTGGAAGTTTCTGGATCATTTTCTTATGAACCAGTCCTAACCCAAGCATTTCATTGGGTTAATATGAGTTCATATGTGGTCAGGTTCTGTGTCTCCTATGCAATAAGTGTTTATTTCTCCTTGCCATTTCTCCAAAGACAGCTACATTGCTGCTGTCCAATAATCTCCTGGGATATGCTACCATAGAGTGACATAAGATATTTTTACATTTTTCCAAACACTGTGTGTATTTTTTCATTGACAGACCATTACAATATTCTGCTGCTATAGGGTTTGGATCATTGCTATAGGATCGGAGTGGGGAAGGGGGGTTGGATCAGCATGGGGCAGCAAACTTCTGTTCTTCACAACAGTGAAGCAGTGGACCACATCAATGTTTTGAATAAGCTGCTTCTCTGCCCGCTTCTACCCTCAGCTCTGTTGTTTGTGTAAAGTGTATTCTGTATTTAGTGAACTTTACATTAGACTGGATGGTGCTCAGTGATTGGTTGCAACATTTCAAAGGTGGGAAGACAAGAAATGGCAGGTATAAACTTAAGAGTTTTTATGTTTCTGTGTCAATATATGCAAATTTAGATATTCCTAGTTGCTGTTGGCCAATAGTTAGTGCAAACTAAATTTTAAACAGATGGCTGGTGAGTGATTTCTCTAGGGACCACCTCTCTCTCTGAGAAAAAAATCTCTCTTTTACTTAGACTTAATGGCCTTTCAACTGGCTTTCATCCAGGTGTAATAGCGTGTAATTCTCAAGAAGCTAGACTGGGAAATGTGTTTTACTGTGGACCATGGAATCTGGTTTTGTGATGAAGCTATCTTGAAGTTGTACTGTCTTCAGTTTAGCATTTGAAATAAGATGTGGGGCCTGATCTTGCATTCTTTGCACATCCAACATTTTAACAAAAGTTAGTGGAAATTTTGGGAGTGCTAAGAATGCAGAATTTCATGTGAAAGGTTTTTGGTATTTCATTTAGTATTCAATTCACTTTTATTTCTGTCTAGCTAAAAGATCCTAATTGGCATCCAGTTTCAGCAAGAACCTTTTTTTTTTTTTTTTTTTTTAAGATAGGCACGTCTATACATACATCAGTACAGGAGTATTGTTGGTTAGCTATTTAATTCAGGACACTTCAATCAAAGTTAATGTCAAGAGGTAGAGGATGTGTAGATTATCACAAGTCAAAGCTCTCCTTACTATTGCTTTGGTTCATCCAGCCACAGTTGAGATTGATGCCTCATACTAACGTTTCTGGTAACCATACCTGACAACATGAAGATATTTTACTTTTTTTCGGCTGCATAATTGGTCTCCACATCTGTGGTGTACTTTTTAAAAATATTATTGTTTGGAAGAGATTCAAGCTGTTCACTTCCACTATTAAATATTGCCGGCAACAATTTCAAGTAGGCATAGTGTTTATATGCATTGGCCAGTATCCATAGAGTAAACATCTTCATTCTTTCATCTACCCTCGTCCCACGTCCTCTATGATTGTCCTTTTTTCAACAGCTGATCATTTTGATGGCGGCAGTAAACATATCAGGGAATTTATACTTTTAAAAAGCAATCTATTGTAGATTTAATGTCCATTTCATTGCAACCTTCCTCAAATTATCAGCTTCTAATTATATTTGTTTCTTAAAAAGAAAGCTTCAAGTATAGCACATTTTTAAAGACCGTTTCTCCACTGCAAAAACATTAATAGCCGTCTGAAAAGATTTTTAATTACAAACTTCAGCTCAATTACTAACTACATCTATTGTCAAATAGAACTTTAAAAAAAATACCCACACAAATTGTGGACCAAAATGGTGTGTGTGTGTGTTACTAATTATAAATCTTTTGTGTAAGGCGTCTGAGCACAAAACAGCTGCCTTCATGCCACGATAAAGATGTTGCTGCACTTCAATCCCAGCAGAAAGTTTAGGCTTCCCTCTGTGAAGCCCACTTGTCCACACGCCACTGCTAAGCCCACAGAGATCTTAAATATTTAGGCCAGGTCTACGCTAGAAACTTTTTTGCCGGAACAACATTGGTTATGACATTGTTATCCTAGCAAAAATTCTAGTGTCGATGCAGTTATACCAGCAAAACAACAACAAAACCACCACCACAAGAAACCTCTTGCTGATATGAGTCTGGAGAACTAGTATAAGTCATGAATACGGCCTTATCAAATTCATGGCCATGAAAAATGCATCCCGGACCGTGAAATCTGGTCTCACCCCGTGAAATCTGGTCTTATGTGTGCTTTTACCCTATACTAAACAGACTTCACAGACCAGAGTTTCTCAGATTGGGGATCCTGACCCAAAAGGAAACTGCAGGAGAGTCTCAAGGTTATTTTAGGGGGGGTCACAGTATTGCCACCCTTACTTCTGCTCTGCCTTCAGAGCTGGGCAGCTGGAGGGCTGTGGCTGCTAGCCAGGCACCCAATTCTGAAGGCAGCGCCCTGCCAGCAGTAGCGCAGAAGTACAGGTGGAAACACCACACCGTGGCGTCTTTACTTCTGTGCCGCTGCTGGTGTGGCACTGCTGTGGGCGGAGCGCTGCCTTCAGAGCCGGGCTCCCGGCCAGCGGCCGCCGCTCTCCAGCTGCCAGCTCTGAAGGCAGCGCCGTCGCCAGCAGCAGCGCGCAGAAGTAAGGGTAGCAGTACTGCAACCCCCCCTCCCCCACAATAACCTTGTGGACTCCCCCCCCCCCCCCCAACTCCTTTTTGGATCAGGACCCCGACAATTACAACACTGTGAAATTTCAGATTTCAGTAGCTGAAATAATGAAATTTACAATTTTTAAAATCCCATGACTGTGAAATTGACCAAAACGGACTGTGAATTTGGTAGGGCCCTAGTCATGAGCTATGCCGCCAAAAGCACTCTCAAGCTGTATCTGCCAAGATAGCTATCCCAGCAAGAGCTCTTCTAGTGTAGACAGGACCTTAGGTGTGGGACATGGAATGGGAGAAGTTCTGACTTCACAGCACAGTCTTTCTTCAGCGTTAGAAGAAAGTGGTGAAGGAACACAGAGTCAGTCCCGCAGGACAGGGTGTGGGGCTCCTGGTTTAATAACGGAAGGAAGCAGTTTGCAGGAATATTGGTCCTTTACGACAATTTCTTGTCCAGTGACTAGTGTCCGATGCTTCAGTGCAACACACCAAGCCTCCTATAGCAGAGGGTAAAATTGCCTGCCGTTGATCAGTTTATACCCTAAGCACGAGACTTGATCACCATATTATCTTGTATCCTGCCTACTCAAATTGCAGATGTTATTCTTCCTGTAAGCATCGGAGAGCTTATGTTCCTTTTGCCCTTTCTCCATTCCCAGGACGTATGTGGGGTTTGGGCAAAACACCGATCTTTCAGATCTGTTCTGTCCCTTGGCGCACTTGGGACCAAAGCCAAAAACAAAAAATAAAACCCCCTCTCTCCTCTCCAGAGAGAGTTAAACTGAGCAATGCCAGTCTGCCCTTCCAAGAAAGGGTTAAATTGAGTTTTCAGAAAATGCTGTAGGCAGGATATAGAATTGCAGCTTCATTCTCTCTTGCACTCTGTTTTGAGGAGAGAGCAGAATGCTTTGACAGCAGCTTGACATTGCCTTGAAAGGTGCTGGAAGCTCTCTAAGCGTTTGCCAAAGGGGGTGGAGGAAAGGCAAGCCTGTCAAGCAGTACTGCAGCCTCAGCCTGCTCCCATGCTCGGAAATGCTGCTGCAACTTGGAGATTTCCATAAGGTTTAGCTGCCGTCCAACTTCTGCAACTGGGCTCGTGCACAGTAAAGTCCTGGAGGCACAGAAGGGAATCTCCTCCAGGGCAGGAGCTTCACCATCTCCTGGATTTTTGCGAATTCGGGACAAAAGGTTTTGTGCAAAGGGCAAGGACGCTGCCCATGTGGAATGATGGCTGCTCTCAACCAGCATGGTTCAAGTTGGAATATTGCTGGGAATGAAGTGTGTGCTTCATGTTTGCTGCATCTGCCAGCCAGCCAGTGCTCAGCTGTCACTGCTCCTTCAACCAGCTGTTCATTTTAATCACTGCATTTATAACTTGTGCTCCACAAATGCCGAGTGGCCAGTCTGACCGATCTATTGCTGGATTTTTAAGAACAGCTAAAGATCCTTTAGCCTCTGGTTTGGTTTTGGTCTTGTCAAACCAGACTGGATCTTGAGATTCTCGTTCTAACTAGCCCTGTTTAGAATTTTGTTAAAGGGAGTGCAGCATTTGCTGGGAGTCTTCATAAAGTGGAGTCAATAGGACTTTGTTCCCTTTAAGTGGAGGAGCATAGTGTGCATTGTAACCCTGCTCTGTGGTGGGAGACAGACTGAAAGTGAGCTTGCTGTGAAGTGATTCCAGTACAGCCAGGGGAGAGACCGAAAGGAGCTGGTATTGCAATTAGCTGAATGCTTTGATAGAGAATAGCAAACATGCTTTGTGGACTGAAAAAGGATTTGCAGTCAGACTTCGGTGAGTGAACCTGTCTTTTCCCCCCCACCAGTTTACTTTCGTTTCACTTGATTTCTTTTAACTGCTGTCCAAACCCAGTAACCAATGTATGTCCACCTTACTGGAGTGTTTCAAAAGAGCTTGGTTTTTACTCTGACTTAATTGCTTTGATTTGTAAAACGTGCCTCTGCTCCTCTGAAAAGAATTTCTCCCTGTAACAATTGGAGAGCACTGTACATACCGCTCTGCTTCTCCTCTTATCCTGTATCTGCCTAAATGCTGGCTGGTGTAGGGTGTGCTCTTAAGACACCCAAAATATTATATTTGCTCTTCTGTGACCATTTTTACGGCAATGATGTTTTATGGAGGCTTCATGTAACTCCGTACTTTCTTGTTCTCTTTTGTTATTACTTTAAAGATCAAGGTGTATAAAAGCTGAAAGTACAAAGCGGGGTATGTGTTAGTAATGGACCCTGCTGAGTAGAGTTGGATCCCTGACAGCAATCTGCATCACCGGTCTAATCTACTGTTACAGTGCTTACCATAATGATCTTGGCTCACACTAGAAAATTGCCAGTCTAAGATGATGATGATGATAAACCCCTGTTTGGACATACAGGGCTGTAAACTACTAATATGGATCAGACAGGCCTCCTTTATCTCCCATAGTCCTGTGCAGAGATGAAGGCTTTAAGGGCACCTTTTAAATGATTTATTTGAGGATGAGGCTCTGGATATAGAAGTCTGGCACCAGGCCCTTCAAAATGGGGTGGTCCTGAAAGTGTGAGTGTGGTTAAAATGTTGGAGCACTTTGGTCGTTGCATGCCACAGCCCTGCTTGTAGTTTTCATGTACAATGCTGCATGAAGTTTGCTTCCCCAACCCCCCCCCCCTTTCCCCCTGTGAAAGCGAAAACATCAGAGCCTGGAGAAAAGGGTTATTTTGGATTCCAAATAAATCTGCATTGCTTGAAGCAATCTGGTAGGGGATGCACTCTTCCCCACCTCCTGAGCTGGCTGAATGAATGAACCCAGGTCAATCGATTTGAAAAAACTATGCTACCTTCTTCCTCCCCTTCCACTCCAAAATCTATAACATACACTCGTTAGATCTCCATAAAAGGATAAAATGAAGCTGGCATAAGTCAGTTTACCCGGCTTAAGTGATGCCTAATAACATTAATGGTGGTTAGATGCCGATATCCACTTACTGCCTCTCAGTAAGTTAAGATGTCCATTTTTCAAGCTGATTGAACCATTGAAGTATCATCTCTCTAGGCAGAGAGAAGCTGCTGTAACAGGCCATGGATGCAGGCACTACATGAAGAGACTTCTTGGTAGGACCCTGATTGGCTCTGGGAATTGGTATGGGATATAGGACTTTTCACCACCACTGGTTGATATCTAGTGATGCAGAGTGGTTACCAGTGGGCAGATGTCCTGTAGTTTATATGAAATGTTGGAGAGTCTCACCCCAGTTCCTCAGACTGTGCCACCTGTGACTAGGGTCCTACCAAATTCAAGGTCATGAAAAACGCATAATGGACCATGAAATCTGGCCTCCCCAGTGAAATCTGGTCTTGTGTTCTTTTACAAAAGTACACCGCATTTCTCAAACTGGAGGTCCCAACCCACACTGGGGGTCGCAAACCTATTGTAGGATGATGGTGGTATTGTCACATTCTACTTCTGTGCTGCCTTCAGAGCTGGGCGGCCAGAGAGCGGTGGCTGCTGGCAGGTCACCCACTCTGAAGGCAGTGCTGTTGCCAGCAACAGTGCAGAGGTAAGGGTAGCATGGTAGAGAGGGTGTTGTCACAGCCTGAAATATTTGCAAAGGGGATCCCAGCAAAAAAAGTTTAAGAACCCCTTTTGAGAATCTTAATCCAGGGTGATTTACAAGTGTAACAGTAATACAGTGCAATACTTGTGGGGTGTGTGTGTATATATACTGTGTGAACATATCTGCGAAATTTTGCTATTTATGCTGTGACCAACCTGTGAAAAATGTGATTTTGTGATTTTAAGTAGACCCCTATCTGAGAGTTGGTACCCTTTAATGGTGTAACGTGACACTCCTAAGTGGGTCATTGGTAGTGGGGATCAAACATCAGACCTCTGGATCTCAAACCATGAGTCTCCACTGTTTGAGAAAAGGCCCAATGCTCTTGGATAAGGCTGCAGGAGGCTTATCAACCTCAATATTGGATCCAGTCACCAGAAGGGGACAGAGCACCACGCTGAATGCACGTGTTACAGTAGCTTAAAATCAGAATTTCTCTCCATGCTAAAGGTGTCCCTTTCAATTGCAGGTGGGGCACTTCACTGAGTGACTAGGGCCAAGCTTACACTTCTATTGCCCAGGAATTCACTGTCATGTGAATTCTATAGCAGAGCTGTGGTCTCATTTACCAGAACTAGACTCACTACATCACAAAGGAGAAGGGAAAGACAGCTGGCTGTTTTGTCTCCCAGCCCTGCCGTCCTCCATTCTCTTCAGACCCCTCTTTTAGACTGATGTACACAAAGTAGCATTCTATGGATCTTTAATGTCTGGTCAATATTTTAATTGCAGGGTTTTTTTAAGTAGTTCTTCCTTGAACACGCAAAACAAAATGTGATTCTTATTGTGTTGTTTTTTTCTCCTCTAAAAATATTTTATCTGTCTCTCTTTTTGGAAATCTCCTTGGTGGCTGGAGAATGAGATGAATGCATTAAAATAATTGTTTCCATTTTTTTCAAGTGATTTTTGTATGAGTCACTCTACTTGGAGTTTAAAAGTGACGGGGAAATATCAAAATCCAATGGCTTACTTTGGAGAACCCAAAAGTTCAGATGTGTCTCCAGACCCCTTGGGCCAACCACTCCTGATTTTTGGTGGCCCCTGGTCATGGTAGAAAGTCTGAGTAGTCCACTGTCATGATATTTTCTTGGAACTTACAGTCCCAGCTGGCAACAGAAAATGCAAAGCAGCCCAGAACCATTTTTTAAAGATAATCTGACTTGCAAGACAGGGGGGTTGTTTTAAAATTTAGGGGGAAGTTTGAGTCAATTGTCATTTATTTGAATGAGCTTCTCTCCCGATCACAGTGGAAGCCCTGATGGAGAATTTGCAGTTTTATATATTTAGCAAGTGATATGCACACAGAGTTTATGTTTGCAATGTAAGGCATCTGGCTAGTGTGTGTAATTTTTTTTTAAATGTGTTAGGTAGGAGAGAGAAATCTTTGGCTGTTTTTTTCCATATACAGTGGCGAAAAATGTCACCAGGTTTAGATATCTTTGTGCTGCTTTTAGGTAGGGTTTTGGGAAGTGGCGGTGGAGAGGGGGTTGTTAATAATAAAAAGCTGGGACTTCATCCTGGTGGAGCCCCACTGAAAGAAACATGGGTCTGCACTTCATGCAGGGTCCTCATTATCATGACTCCAGGATGGGGACCCTCTGAAGTATTTTTGTTTTGAGGGCAGATAAGGCACCTGAGATGCTTCAGTAAAAATGCACTTCTTGCTTGGACACAACAAGATGAATCTGCAGTGAGAATTGGAAGCAGCCTATTTAAAACCAGTTTTCTACTCACTGTGTGGGTTCTTTGAGTCAAATTCTGCCTTTGTTTTACCTCTGGCAACCCACTTGAGGTCAAATAGGTTGCCCAGTTTATAAGGGCAGTATTTGGCCCCATGTGTTTTTTGAGTCTCATTTTAAAGATGAATCCCAGATTTTTATTACTGTCCCATCACAGAACCAGGACAGCAGTGGGAGAAGGAGCTAAGTTCTGTTTTGCCTTTTTGAATTCTGATCAAAATAGCCAGCTGAGCTTTGACTGCAGATTCTCTACCAGTGAAGAGGGTATACAAGTTGGAAAGATCTCAGCTTGACTTTTCTTTTTTTCCACACGCCAGGTAGTGATGTTTGCAGCATTGACAGAAAAATTCAATTTAAGCCTGATTTTGCTGAGAAAATCATGGTGAGGAGAAAATCTGGACTGGCATGAAGTTCCTCTTTAGAGTGTCTGTCTCTCTCTCTCTCTCTCTCTCCCCCTCTCTCCTATAATTAGGAATTTTATTTCAAGTGCTAGTGAAAAGTGTTGGATGGATATCCCTGCAGTCCTCCATCCACAGGAAATAGTGGTAATGGAAGCTTTCTCCATGCTATCCCCAACCAATGTGCCTCAGACCCCATCTGTAGAGACTTCTAGGGCTGGGCTAGGATTTCATTCTTCATGACCAATAAGTCTTTGGCCTCTCTGCTGAAGCTGCCAGCAATGGTGTCCATTATGATGGTGGCTTTTGGTGTGAAAGCTTTACAGAGACCACCAAGTGGCTTCATACAGGCCACTGAACACCCCTTATGTGGTATAATGATTTTGAGTCTCTTCTAACCCAGGCTGAGCAGTGACTGATGGCCTAGAAGTGACGAGCTCTACAGTCCGTTACAAATCCCCTGACCTACTCAGGCCCTAACCCTAATTTTTCTTCACTTTAGCATAGCATTGACAGTTAACTTCATAGTTTTGTATAAGAAAAGGAGTACTTGTGGCACCTTAGAGACTAACCAATTTATTTGAGCATTAGCTATCGTGAGCTACAGCTCACTTCATCAATGCATAAAGTGGAAAGTACAGTGAGGAGATTTTATAACTCAAATTGGTTAGTCTCTAAGGTGCCACAAGTACTCCTTTTCTTTTTGCAAATACAGACTAACAGGGCTGATACTCTGAAACCTGTCAGTTTTGTATAGTCACTGCAGCAGTCTCTATTGTTAAACAGTCAGCCATGGAAACAATGTTGCTTAGCCCTATTAACCGGGAAGCCGCTGAGCCTTGGCAGTTAAGGAACTGGCATATCGGATGCGCAATGTGCTGAGATCATTTGGTCTCTAGTTTGTTTTAGATACCCATGAGGGATCGGAGGGAACCCTTGCATTTTCTAGAAGAAGTCATGTTATTTTGTTTGGATTTTTCAAGGTGGTATTATCAAATGTAGCTTTTATTCTTGAGGGATGTAAACTCAGTTTAACCGCTTGTTAA